AAAAGATTTACCAATTGATAATTTTGAAGATGGATTGAAGACTTGTAAGACATGCTTGGAATACAAGAGAAAGAACTATGACAAACATAAAGATAAAGTGAATGAAACACGAAGAACTAAATATAAAGAAGATGAAGAATATAGAAAAAAGAAACAGGAACAAATACAAAACTATCGTGATAAAGTTGCCTTTTGTAATGTATGTAATTCATCAATGAAGGCACAATGTTATTCAAGACATTTAAAAACAGAGAAGCGTAAAAGGAATTTAGGAACGGTTGATGGATAGGATTTTGTAAAATGAATAAGGTAATAATGCTTTTGACTGCTATGATTTTGAAAAAATGAATGAGGTAAGTATGCTTTGACTGCTATGATTTTGAAAAATTGACTGAGGTAAGTATGCTTTGACTGCTATGAGTTTGAAAAGTTGAATGAGGTAAGTATGCTTTGACTGCTATGATTTTGAAAAATTATGTTTTGATATTGTTGAGAAAATGAAGCAATTAACAATATATAAACTGACTTTTTGGACTATTATGTTTTTTTAATGAATAAATTTTGATTTGTTATACTGCTATGATATTAGTTTAGAAAACTTCGCTGAATCAACTTTTTTTACATTTTTTGGGGGAGCGTGTCAGAGAAGAGGGGCAAGCGAAGGAGCAAGAGGCTAGAAAGCAAGAGGCAAGATGACAAGAGATGGAGCAAGACACTAGAAAGCAGGAGAAGGAACAAGGAGCAGGAGGCAAGATGCAAGAGCAAGTGGGAAGCAAGAAGCGAAGCAGCAAGAAGCTAGAGAGCAAGAGGCAAGATGACACGAGATGGAGCAGCACCGAAGAAAGCAAGCGGAGGGCAAGATGTGGAAGAAGAAAAGCAGGGGCAAGAGGAAGAAGCTAGAAAGCAAGAGGCAGGAGGCAAGCTGCAAGAAGCAAGAGGCAAGAGCAAGACATGGAAGCAAGCAAGAGCAGAGCAAGATACAGTAGCAAGCAAGAGATGGAAGAAAAATGTTTTTTGCAAGAACAAGAAAGCAGCGAGGAAGAAGCTAGAAAGCACCACACACAGCAAGTTTCAAGAGGCATTTCGGTGTGATGAAGGGAACGTTTTGGAAAGCCAAAGGCCATTCCCGGCCTTCAATGGCGTGCTGTTTTGGTGTTGCGACACCAGCCTTTTTTGGGGTCAGACGGCTACAATTTGGAGCTAGTTTCTTGTCGGTTCAGAAAGCAACCTTGGCAGGAGCCGCCGCAAGCCAAAGGCACCCTCCGGCCTTCACTGGCATGCTGTTTCGGTGTGGCGACACCAGCCTTTTTTGGAGGTCGGACGGCTACAATTTGGAGCTAGCTTCTTTTCGGTTCAGAAAGCAACGTTAGGCAGGAGCCGCCACAGGCCGAAGGCACCCTCCGGCCTCCACTCGCATGCTGTTTTAGTGTGGCGACATCAGCCTTTTTTGGCGGTCGGACGGCTACAATTTGGAGCTAGCTTCTTTTCGGTTCAGAAAGCAACGTTAGGCAGGAGCCGCCACAGGCCGAAGGCACCCTCCGGCCTCCACTGGCATGCTGTTTTAGTGTGACGACATCAGCCTTTTTTGGCGGTCGGACGGCTACAATTTGGAGCTTGTTTTTTTTGTCGGTTCAGGCAGCAACATTATAGGCAGGAGCCGCCGCAAGCCAAAGGCACCCTCCGGCCGGACGGCTACAATTTGGAGCTAGAATTTCAGAAAGCGACGTTAGGCAGGAGCCCGCCGCACGAGAGTACGTCTTAACCGCGACAAAACCAAGATCCCAAACCACGACAAAGCAGATATTCAAGTTTACCACGATTAAACAAGACAATCTTAACCACGACTAAATAACACTGTCTAAACCACGACAAAAAACAGCAAATGCTGCGACTGCAAATGGATAGTCTTATAAAAGGTGTGCAAGCTTTGGCGGCTTCAGTCTATCTTCCAAGGACTTCCGGTATCAATCCTATTTATTTATATAGTTCCTTTTCCTCCGGTGTTCGTCATCTATGGCGTTTTGCCCCAGATGCTTTTTGGCCTAGCAAAGCCGTGGTGAACAAAACTCAGAGTTTTACAGGAGGTGCTACGGAAGTGGTACGGGAGGGGTACGGGAGTGCTACCGGACTGGCACGTGGAGCGGTACGGGGGTGGTAGTGGTACGGGAATGGTACGGGATTGGTACAGCAGTGGTACGTAAGTAACCATTTCCGTGCCTCTCCCGTACGGGCGTGGTACTGGAGTGCTAGTACGGGAGTGCTGCGGGAATGGTACGGGAGTGGTACGGGAGTGGTATGGGACAGGTACGGCAGTGGTACGGAAGTGGTACGGAAGTGGTACGGAAGTGGTACGGAAGTGGTACGGACAGGTTACGGGTGTGGTACGGGAGTGCTAGGGCTGCTAGGGGAATGCTATGGGAGTGTTACGGGAGTGGTACGGGCGCGGTACTGGAGTGGCAGTATGGGTGGGAATGCTATGGGAGTGGTATGAGACTGGTACGGGAATGGTATGGGAAAGGTACGGCAATGCTACGAGAGTGGTACAGGAGTGCTATGGGAATGTAACGGCACTGGTACGGCGCGCCGATGCCGCCGATCCCCAAAATCCTTCACTCTGCTGGGGTCCGGGACCGGGAAGAAAGAGGCTAAAATTATAAGATGCTCTTGGAAGTCGATTTTGGGCCGTTTTTGAGCCATGTTTTGACGATTTCTTGCTGCGCTCGGGAAACAAAAACATCGCAAAATACAGTATTTTTGTCCTTTTCACATATAGAAATTAAATCTTGCAACATGGTGAAAACTGCATAAATACCAGCAATTTTGCTAGGCACGGGCACAAAAACATTATAAACACCGTGATTCTTGCTACCAAAGAAGATCGTAAATACCGTGGTCTTGGGTTTCTGAGCCTATTTGACGATTTTTAGGGGTGCACAAAAATGCGAAAATAAGCTGTGCTGCAACAGCAGCAGCAGCAACAGCAGCAGCAGCAGCACCAACAACAACAACAACAACAACAACAACAACAACAACAACAACAACAACAACAACAACAACAACAACAACAACAACAACAACAACACCAGCAACAGCAACAGCAACAGCAACAGCAACAACAACAACAGCAACAGCAACAGCAACAGCAACAGCAACAGCAACAACAACAACAACCACAACCACAACGGCAACGGCAACGGCAACAACAACAAAACCAACAACCACAACCACAACCACGACCAACTACAACAACAACAACAGCAACAACAACAACAGCAGCAGCAGCAGCAACAACAGCAACAGCAACAGCAACAACAACAACAACAGCAGCAGCAACAACAACAACAATAACACCAACACCAACACCAGCGGCAACAACAACAAGAAGAAGAAGAACAAGCACAAAAATGCGACAAAAAGATGTGTGGTAAGATGGTTACCAGCTGCGGTATGACAAGAACATCACACTGTGCTCTGCCCCTGCGCGCACGCGCAGAGCACATGAAAGACACCAACGTATGGCATCGCCGGTGTGCGAAGCTCTGCAATACTTAAAATAACAAAAGATCAGGGTCTGAGTTCATCTGGGATCTCACATCAGTTCCTCTGCAAAAACTGTTGCGCTGGCCTCGCTGCCAGGTGTCGGCAGATCTGAGCCAAGGAGGTCCAGCCTCAGAAGCACGTGGTCAGAAAGCTTCCTTGCGGTTCATCACTCGTTGGAAATACACCTTCCCATCATTTTCAAGCAGTGACAAGATTACATGTTGAAGTGTGAGACTATTGATGGATATTGATGAATATTGACAACATTGATGAATATTGATGACTACTCGCACAAGCAGCAAACAGATCAGACAACAAGTCGGCAGATCTTTGGGGCTTGAGCAGGTCAGTCTGCTCAGACATGTTTATGCGAAGCCTTAGTATTTCTGTTTGAGCAACTTGGTTGGCAATGATTTCGATTGCAAACTGTGGCATCACACCATATCACACCCTTAAACTCCCCATCGCAGAAGAATGAAGATGGCTCGAAGTTCGCCAAAATCAACACAGGCTTTTTTCTTAGGCTGGGACAGACGTCGTCCAGTGGCCTTTGCAAGGGCTTGTACCGTTGCAGTCTTTCCCAAGCCGGGAGGACCTGCGCACGGATGCTGCGACATGCTGCGGTGCCGTGGCACCGTGGACATGTTCGGCCCGAGCGCCTTCCAGCAGTACTGCTTTGGGTTGTTGCAGTGCTCGCACCAAGCGGCCTTGGAAGATGATGGCTAAAAGATGCTTAGCAGATGATTAAAGATGTTTAAAGATGTTTAAGGTAGCAATTTATGGTTAAATATGGTTAAATATGGTTAAATATGGTTAAATATGGTTAAATTAAATATGGTTAAATATGATTAAATGCTAGGTGAAGCAAGCGAATGACCAATATTTAACATGAATTGCATGCTGCACTTCTTTGGGGGACAAGGAAATTGTTGTCACATTTTTCGGATGGCTTCTGACGCTGCTGCCTGCTGCCGGAACGGCCAAGAAACATATAGTCAGCATTTCATTGCTGAAACGCAAGAAGTCGACTGAAAAAATATGTGCTGTCCTTCCCTGTGCATATGGGCCTTCTACCCACCTAAATTTGAGCATGTTGAATCATTTTGGTCTGAAAATTTGACTGATTTCAGCTGAAAGAATTCGAGTTTCAAGGTCCAACTTTCAGGCACAGCACCAAGGTGAAACCCCAGGGCAAAGGGCTCAGAAGGTCCACCACTGCATCCAGAAGAGCTGTGAATTTAACAGCCTTCTTGGCTTCACGTCCAGATTCATCCTTTCAGGCCTTTCAGGTCGAAGATCCCTCAAAAATCCCGAGACCAAGAACTCCATAAGTTCCTAAGAACATCATACAGAACGACATAGAACTACGCCAACTACGCATGAAAAATCATGAAAACACACTTGGCAGATACTTGGCAACACCAGCTGCAACTGAGCTTCAGCACCTTGAGCTCCGTGGACTAGCGGCGCCGTTTTCGCGTCCAAGTCACACAACCAACCTAGAGAAAGTTCCGAGAAGGTCTGAGTTTGAATCGATGACATGGTGCCACAAAATGGTGCCACGTCTATGCCTCAACTGCATGATTTTGATCTGTTTTTACATGTTTTAATATGTTTTGCACTTTCGCTGCTTTGCAAGCTGCCTCATGGTTTGGGCCTTTGTCACCATTTCGCCGGAACATGCTGGCTACCACCTTTGCGTCTGCTCCTCACAATGGCTGTGAACTTTCTCAGCACAGCAATTGCGTGATGTTTATTGATGCTTTATGATTTGTTTGCTGCAGATCACATAAACATATAAATATCTATAAATATATATATATAAGTTTATACATTATTACTATTATTTTTATTATCATTATTATTATTGAACAATCATTTGTTTGCCACACAGTCACACTTCGTGCCAAAATCCATCACTCTGAGAAGCGCTCACCGTTCCGCCGTCCTCTAATGTTCCTGGATCTCCACCGAGGTTCACCCACTGAACACAAAATACCTTGGCTCAGAGCATCCTAATGCGGTAAGCCCAACAGTGAACCGTACCCACCCCATGCATCCAATTCAGGATAATATAACCATACCAGAAAAGAAGGTGTTATACTTGGGCTTACCACATTTCAAAGGACATGAAATGATCGCACCACAAGTGCACCTGAACCCGTGTTCTTGAGTCCAAGAGGCCAAAGTTGCAAGCAACAGGCACAATTCTGTCACCCACAGATCTGACAATGCCTCCAAAGCGTGTATCTCCAACCAAAGGCCGCGCTATGTTCAGGCCTCTCAGTCACAGAAAAAAACAAAAGGACTTAAGTTGTCCGACCGGCGTAAATGAAATTCAGCCATGCTTTTTCCAACAGAGAGAGGATTGCACCACAGCAGACCCACAATATCCCACAATTACAGAATCTTGGAAAAAGGGCCAATCCTATCCAATCCTTGTCTCGAAAAGAGCCCAGACTAGGAGGCAATGTCAATAAAGGAAGGCGCACGCAGAAGTCTAGACTGGAAAACATATGGGGATTGTGGACAGTGGCAACTCTTTCAAAGATTTGTTCAAAGATTTTTCGCGCACAAGAATCAGCATTGAAACTTTCCAAAGGGACGGACACTACACCATATGATAAGACTAAGGTGAAGGAAGTGAAACAAATACAAAGACCCAATCTCAGACTGGAAACCAGTTTAGCAGTTTTTTCAGAGACAGGCCAGAGACTGAGACACATCCAAGAAAAGCTGCAGAAGATATGGATGAGGTTTGCAGGGACAAACACGCAAACAAATTGCTAAACATAAGAATAAAAACAACAGCTTCAGAATCAAGAGTAAGTAACATGTTTGAAAAAACTTAGTCAGTGCCAAGCTGCTAAGATCCTTGAAGCCATGCTTTTGAGACAACTTTGCCCCAGCCTTGGTTGCGTTCTTTCCAACAGAGCAGAAGTGCACAAATGGTGGAAAATGGGTTTGTCTGCCTGTCTGCAAATAGGGTACCCCAATTCCAACAAGTTATGATGATTTTCCATTTTCCCATTAAAATAGCAAGTTCGGCACCCCCCCCTGTTTTTGGACAAACCCAAGTCAAGTCCAGCAAGCCTTTTTGCAGAGCCAAGAGTCTTGGCTCCTGTCATGACTGGAACTTCCTGGGATCTGAAAGGGCTGGACTTGAGTTTTTCTATCTGTCTGAACCTGTGAAGTTGTGAATCTAAACTTCCTGTTGTACAGTCTTCTAATGTCAAATAAGAAGCCTTTCACCCCATTGTCCGTAAAGTCAAGGATGTCGACATTTGACGGTGGGGCGGACAGCACCAGGAGCATGCTCCAGCCAAACCTTGCTGAAACATGTGAAACCACTGAAACCACATTGATCTTTGCAAGAAAAGTGACTCAGAGTGAAATGATCAGAGCCAAGGCACCCGTGCCCCAGTTGTTCAGCAAGATGTGCAATGACAGCGTTGTCCCCGATAAAGGAAAACTGCTGCTGCAAGTTCTTCGGGATTGAGGACTCGGCAGCGCTCGATTCAGAAAAGGAAAATTCAGAATGCCTAAAGTCTTGGGGTCGGAGGCCATTCACCACCCACATTTCTTCCAGAAATGCGCACACTATCAAACACAAATCTGAAGTTAGCCTTTCTCCAGGTATTGAACTCATTGAGACAACCACCAAGTTCGAATTGAATTCGTCACAACTCACAAGCAACTGCTACAGGATGAATTTCAGGCGAGAACTCTGTTGTTCTTCCAAAAGTCCTCGAGCATCAATGCCTGATACACGCTTTGAAAGCTAGAAACAGTCTGCTCTCTGTCAACATCTTCAAGGTCTTTCATATGTCTGTGTTTCTATGATGACAAGTGCGGATGGCAGTCGGACGGCTCGGACGGCCCGGACGGCACTCAGACGGCCTTCTTCAAATGGCATTGGTAGAACTCCTCTTGACTGACTGATTTGATTGAAGCACAAGTGAAGGAGTCCAAGCCCGCTTTGACGTACAGTTCATCTGCTCCATTCAAAGGAGCAAAGTGAAGCCCCGAAAAGCGCAGTCTGACTCCAACTCGTGTCTTCTCCCATGAGATTTGAAGCTTGGGTCCAAGGAGGATCCGAAGCCATATCCGAAACTCGGGCAGGAAGTCGCCAACCGCCCCACCACCAGCAATTCGAAACTTGGCAACATGGCGCTTTGAGTCATAGTTGCTGTCCGTCAGCAGTTTGCTCTGCTGTAGACCTTTCAGAAAGGCAGAGACCACCAGGGCGGCATCATCTCCCTGCGGCATCGTCTCAAGGTCCGCGACCAACGCGTCAATGGTCTCAATGGTGGCGGTTTTGCTTTCCCGACGCAGGCCCAGAAATGAGATTCCTGGACAAACCACGAAGAGTACTAACACCAGCTGCCCCAAACAACGGCGAGTCAAGCGGAGTCTCATGGCTCAATGATGTATCAAACTTGCTCAGCTGGACACTAATTCACTGTGGGGGGTGTCATGATGAAAGTCGCTCAGTCAGAGACTGGATAGAGTTGGCTGATGATGAAGCATGCTGCGCCACTGCAGTGTCCCTTCTGTGTTGCCTGTTGTAATGATGTCACTCATGACCCATATCCGATCGGACGCTGGACCCACAGAACAAAATGACTTGCTGCCGCTATGACCCTTGCCAGCAATGGACTTCACAAGTACAATCTTACAATATCTTACAATGAAGCCAGACATTCAGCAAGATCTCTCAGGGCTGGTCCAACATTGCAGGCAGCAGCTGGAGCTCCAAAGTCAAATTCTTCAGCAGCGCCTTCAGATCAAAACAAATGAAACGCCAGCCTGTAGCCTGTAAACAGTAAACATGTGAAAGCGTGTGAAAGCATCTGCATCTGCAAATCAAAAGTTGGAAAACAACCACAGGTGCCTGAATGATCCATGTCAACATCTTCATCTGGTTGAGAGGCCTCAAGGAATCTTCACAGTGCAATTGTGTGCATTTGGACTTGCCATGACTTGCCACCAGTTCTGGGAAGCATACTGAGACCTTGAAACCGCCAAAGTCAAGGAAGTTCTCCTTGTCTGCTTGTAAGTTGGATATAGTTGAACTCAGTAGTTCAAGTATGTTCAAGTCCAAGTCAAGAAATTCCAGCACGACTATATAGTTACATGTCACAAGTTACAAGCAACAGAACTGGTTTGATCTGTCCTTCACACATCTGCGATGTTGTTTGACCTCGGCAAACGATCAACGTATCATATGTTCAACACTTCGTCAGCTTCTTGCACCGCTACTTACGTAATTTCGAAGCAAATCCTCAAACTGCTATTTAATCTCGCCTTGACCATTAGTTGTACATGCCCTTCGCTATCAGATCTATCAGCGAAAAAACATCTGAATACAATCGTATGAAGATGCTTGATATGCATAATGGATCGGTGTTTTGCAGTCACTCAGTGCTCCTTCCCGTTCGACGTTGCAACCTACATACATTGTATTCCATACTTCGAAAAAACAATGCAAAAACACTGAGGAACGGGCCCAAGCAAATCCATCTGCACCGAAGGACTCTCGTAAAAGCCTCCTGCTTTCATCATTCAAGCCTTCAAATACCTCCGTTTCAAGTTGCTGGAGCAAGTATCGCAGGATAGCCTTCTGTGCTGATGTCAGCCCACCCGAGTTCTCGTCCTCCGTTTCCATCTGGTACTTTGCGATGCACTCAGTATCCACCAGTTGGTTTCCAAGTCCAAGGCTGTCAACCAACGTCATGCAGCCGCCATGTAAATACATCTCAACTGCTTTGCGAAAGCTTTCAGAGTCGGCCCCAGCTGTACTGGCTGTACTGGCTGTACTGGCTGTACTGTGGACAAAGGCCGACCAAGCCAGCACTTCTCGAATGCTCAACGGATGAAGAACTCGTTCATTGAACCAAGTCACACAATTGAGCATCGGCCTGGCAAGCTGAGACCATGGAAGTTGGCTCGCAACCAGATCCTCTGCTTCCTTGGTGGAGAAGTCGATGGAATCAACCCAAATCTCAGTGAAGCGATTGCGCAAAGCGGGAGAAAGCTCTCGTTTTCCAAAGTCACCACCTGGGTTCATGGTGGCAAAAAGGCGAAAGCTTGGCAACGCACGAATCACTTCAAGATCTCGGCCCGTAAGGGGTTTCTCAGCAAGCAGCAAGGAATGTTCGGGCTCCAGTACGGAGTTCAACCTTTCCAACACAGAATCTTCAGCCAAGGAGATCTCATCCACAAGAAAGCCACCCCCACAGCGCATCGCTTCCACCAAAGCTCCATCTGCCCACTCGAAAATTCGGTCATAGTCAGAACAAAGGCTACTCAATTGGGTGGCCACGGTCAGCAAACCGCCTTGGGCTTTGGATGCATCCAAGCGAGGTCGCTTTGTGGCCGGGACTTCAGAATCCGTCTCGGAGCCGAAAGCATTCTTGGCCAACGCTGACCGGAGAGCCTGACCCAAAATCTTGGGATTTCCCATTCCTCTGGCAGCAGCTTTCACTTCAGTGTTCAGCTTGTCTAGAGTCTGGACCATTGATGCATCACCACGGTCCATGCTGGTCAGTTCAGGCTCCAACTTTTTGGCTGTTTCGCAAATGGCATTAAACACAGCATCTCGGCCACGGACAGGACGCAGGGAGCCAATAAAATCCGACGTTTCGGTCTGTTGGTGGCAGTTCAAAGTTCGCAGCCTCCTTTGAGGCAGTCCCTCTTCCACCAATGCCCAGGAGATCAACTGACATGCCATAGTTTTTCCACCACCTGTTTCTCCGACAAGAAGGGCTGGCTCACCTGATTGCACACAGCGACCAATGAGAGCCACCATTCGGCAAAAGGCAGGTGTCCAAACAACTTCCCCTACCCCAACAGGCGGCTGCTCACCTGCTTTCAACTTTGCCGTGACACGGGCTTTAGCCTCTAGAACAAATGAATCTTTGGCATAGTCCACCTGCAGAGATTTTACTCCGCTGCAATGCTTCTGCAACGATTTACGGACCACTTCGCGCTCCTCGTCCTTGCGTAGCCTTTCTGCAAGCAGCGCCCAACCCTCAACGGCAAGCTCCAAGTAGGAGCTCGGTCTTCTGTCCCCCCATCTCAGAAGGTCACGCACCGTCATAAAGCTTTGTTTGCCCAGGAAAACTGCCGATTGGTTTCGATGCGACTGCAAGTCTTGGTAAACTGCAAGCATTACCTTCACATACGATGGGGGAACCTGACAGCGTTTGTGCAGAACGACGGCGAGTTCTTCCATAGGCAGTTCGCTCACAAAAACTTCAGTGAAACGATTTCGAAACGCTCGCGACAACAGTTTGCGACCGCCATAGTTGGCTCCGGCTGGATTCTGTGTGGCAAAGACCATAAACTCCTCGTGGGGCTTCACAGTGCTGCCAGTGTCTGGGATGTACAGTTCTCGATTGTCATCCAACAAACGGTTCAGCGCTTCCAAAACCTCACTGGGAGCCAGGTTCAACTCATCAAGGACAACCCAATGACCTGCCCTTGCAGCCCTCACCAGAACACCCTCTTGAAATACCAGTTGCCCAGTGTCAGGATCACTCACATACTGGCCCACGTACTCTTGCAAGTCTGTGTGCTCATGATTGTTGATGCGCACAAACTCGTGCCCAGTCAAGTGTGCCAGAAACTTTACCAGCGAGGTCTTTCCAGCGGAGGTGGGCCCTTCCAAGAGAATGGGAAATCGGCCACCACTTAGCATGCGCGCAATGTTGTGCAGATTTCGACGGACAGAATCTGTGATCACGAAGTCTTTGTGTGCACCGTCTGTGTCGATCTTTTGAGGACCTGCTTTGATCCAGTAGCCTTCCACATTGATCCAACTCTGGTCTGGGTCCATTTTGACCGCGGCTGTCGAAGATGTTCCAGCCTACAGAGTTTCCGATGAAACGCACATGTACTGGACAAAAAATTGATCCAAAGGTTGCAACCATTTGACAAGTACACTCAGCCAGATTCACCGAAATGCACTTGGCAGCAGTGCCTTCGCACTCTGAACGGGCAGAGATGGTAACACTCCGAGCGCCTGCTACCAGCAAACACATTTGCGAACTTTTGCTAACTTTGAGTGAGCTGATCTAGGTTCCATATTCTTAGCATCGATCAGAGCACACGACTCGACCCAAGCACCTCCTTGATCATGTCTTCAACCACTTTGGAAGATGAAGAGTCGAGCGTCGTTGCCTTGGTGGCCAAACCGACTCCATTTTGCCAATGTCGGTGTCATGTGCTGGACTTCACGTGCCTGCAGACAAAATGCTAGACATGTTACAATATATTCCAAACAAAACTGTAACATGGTATTGTGTCAAATAAAATTTCAGAGTATATGCCAGAAAAGATGTTGAAAATTATTGTTGAAAATTATGTCAAGGCAAATGTCGCAATAAATATATATAATATAATATATGTGTGTCAGACAAAATGTCAGGTCATTTGCCAAAGAAAATATCGCACTATTACTAATTACTATGTGCCAAATAAAATGTCAGGCTATATGACAGAGCAAATGTTGACATGGATGTCAAAGAAAATGTCAGAATATATGTCAGACAAAATGTCAGATTGTGATTATATAGTGCATATCTTTCATCAAAGAAAATTGGTCTCATGCTGCCAAGTGTATGCTGGAATAGTGTCCTCGGTCGTGTTTCATGGAATATACTATATGGAATGACACTTCAAGCTGGTATGTTTGAAGTGAGTTTTGTCTCTGCCAGGGTCATTCTGTCAAAGAAGCAGACTTGCCAGACTTGCTGGTTTACGTCATGATTTGTCAAAAAAGGATCACTCGAAGCAAAGTAATTTGCGTTTTCTCGCGTGGTGGCTCCATTTGATGCAGTCCCGCGGCCGAAGGGCTGCAGGATGATTGGCATGTTTCCATCAGGAACATGCCTCCATTAGGAACAGTGTTTCCATTAGGAACACGTTCCACAACGCAAGGCCGTAAAAAGTCATTGTACATGAAAGGTGCATGCTGTCAATAATGAAATGCGTGCATATCCCAAGGGCCAACTCAGAACGACAGAAAATATGGGATTGCAAGGCCCAAGAGGACTGCCAACGTAAAGTTCTGCACTGTCGCTGCATTGGGCCGGCCTTGATCTTGGATCTTGGCCTCCTTGCCCGTCACCTCAATGGTACCTGCAAAACCCATAGCAACCAGGGCAGCGGTGATAGCGGTGTTGGTATCTTCCACCGAGACCTCCTCAATTGCAGAGCGGGACTCCTGGGCTTCTTGAGCATTGCGGAAGGTCACCAAGAAAATTGCCTGAAGCTGGACTTGGAGCATCCTCTCGTGGAGGCGTGGAGGAGTCGAGATACCTGAAAGGACAGCATCACTTGTGAGGCCTCCACGCCCATTACCTCAGCAAATCCTTGAATCATGGCATTGGTCACAGTTTCATTCTCTGTGATCGTAGGATCATCCACTGAGAGCGTCAGGGTGGCTTCAACAACGCTGGACCCGGGGTCGCCGGAGTTTTCGGCCAACGTCGTTGTTGCCGCACCTCCCAGCGTCGTGCCGGCGGACGTGCTTGACGTCATGCTGGTCTCACCTGTGACATCGCCTGGCTTTGTAGTGGAACTCACCCTCAAATCCTTCAAGACGCCCAAGATGCTGGGATGAGAAATAGATAGAAATAGAAGAAACAGCCCCTGGGTTGGGGGTGTTAGCTCATGTTCTTGAAGCTTAACACCTGAAAGTTGGAACCATCCTCAGGATGGTAAAGCTCAGGGCCATTGTACATAAAGACAATGGCATCTCCAGTTGCATGCGCATAAGTCTCGTTACTGCACACACGCAAATGCACATGAGGCACCGAGATCCAACTAGTCTCATAGTACGCGGAAGGCGCTTGGACTCGGATCGTCACCCTGCCATCAGTGCCCACCAACTGATTGCCGCCATTGAAGTCTGCAGCGCCATATTTAATTTGGGATAGGCATCTGCCATGCGGCGATAGACAGCACATCCAGCCAAGCTGAGATGTGGATTCCAAGGTGACTCCGACTTCCAAGGCGCCCACCACGCCGGATGCACCGGATTGTCGGGAGGGCGTCAGGTTGCCCAGCAGGTTGCCCAGCATGATTTCGATATATTTCGATGTCATACTGGGCAGGCCCTTCAGAGATGTAGGCGCTGCAAAGGTATGCAGAATTGAGCTCGCAGCCAGCCACTTTATGGTCCCATTCATCACAGTCTCCCCAAATGTGGTTCTCCTAAGCGGAGATGTTCCAAGGTTGGGCTGTTGCCAGCGGGAGCAGCAACACTGCGAGTCGGGCAACCATGGCAACCAAGAAAAGGGAAGGGTTTCAAATCCGCATTCGCGTCCACTATCCTTTCCCCTATTTCTTCACACGCGCTTGAGTCAAAATGGCAAAGGTTGTGCGTCCCATCATTCAAAAGAAACGAACGTAGACTTTGCATCAGTGTTTTTTCAATAGAATGCTTCAGTGCACTGACTGACCGCTGCAAAAAGAAAGTACAGTGCTTCGCCTCTCAGTTCACAGCAAATCCAACGGCTAGTCCTTGTGCCAAGGCCTGTTGAAGCACATATTGGGCCATATCGCATTTGCTTCTCTGCTCATCTCACAAGAAGCGTTTCGCATCCTGCCTGCTTAGCGGGAGTTGCATGATGCCTGACAAACTTCCCCACACAATTTGCAAACTCTATCAGACATTATCAGACATTATCAGATTATATCCCATATTCACAGGATCCAAGAGATCCGGCTGAGATCCATGCGATCGCCGTGCCAAACGCAAGGCAAAGCGCAACGCGCGAGTCAAATTCCGTAGGGAAAAGTATGACACCTGCAAAAAATCATAAAAGGACAAAGTCTGAATCGAGAAATGGGTAAGCCATGGTAAGCCTATGTCCCTTGGCCCCTTAAGTGCGATGTCCCTTTTTGTGCCAATTATTAGACTACAGAGACAGTTGTACAACCCTCCTCTTGTAAGGATGGCACTCGTCCAGCACCATCCAAAAGAACATTTTGACCTTGGCGAGTTGCACAAGAGATAACATGCCATGAACAAACTCAGTTGAGCTGGATGTGCCGTCGCTGTCACATCTATACACTGAATTACACGGATACATCGACTTGACCAGAGCCATTTCAATTCGGGAAGCCGACGGCAAAGTGCCGCAGCTTTTTTGTAGAAGCCTCTCTCTGAGGCAAGTGTTCAGAATCATTTCGTCACAAGCACTGCTTTCAGCCAAATAGGTACCAAGAATGTTGGACCAAAAGCACCATTACGTCGCTAGAAGGAGGCAAAGACAGCAAGACTTATATTGATATTGGTATCATGTTGTATCTATACAGGCGTCAAGAGCGAGAAAAGGTATTGATGAAAAAAGTGGTGAGATTATGTGAGATTGTCCAATAGAATGCGGCATATTTTCAAGCCTACAATGGCATCCACAGGAGGATTTGGCAGCGTCAGTTCCAAATAGCTTCTGACCTTGGTCACAGCCGAGTCGAGACGTGTCCTGTCCGAAAGTTCTCCAGGTCCTGGGCAATTTGTCCCAGATCATCTGCAGTGTGCACCTGACGCTGTGAACGGAGTCAAGCTATTCGAGCTTCAAATCAGAAGTCAACAAACCACAGCTACATACAGCTACGTCATGTTACGTCAGTCTTTCCTTTTTTCTACGAAACGAGCAAAAAGAAGGTGCCTGGCCAGCTGCCTGGATATTCCAGGCGCAGCTTATGTACAGTAGAAAGCTCTGGCACAAGTGAACGGACCGCATATCGATTGAACTGCATGACTGGATAAAATCATTCGACAACTTGTCTTGCAAGAAACCAACAAAGACAATTGCCTTGCAACTGCCCGCGACCCTCCGCACTGTGCGGGGCGGGCCCTTGCCCAACATGAACAAATCACTCATGACCTTGTGGTAACCATGGGGGTCGCAGGCTCATTGCAATGGCAAGTATCATGCGTCCTACGCCCCTTCTCAGACAATAGCCACTGCCCTGGCAAGTCACACAGAGAACACTTGTGCTCCGTTAAGACAGCTTGAGAGATTTTCAGTGATTAACAAAAAGAAAAGAAATCTGCTGAACAGGCTGAACAGGAATCCAGGAATCAGCAGAGAGAAAGTCTTCCTGCTCATGCTGTCTCTCTTCAGTCCAACCATGTCCAACCTGAACCACATGGAGACAGAAAGTATCCCCATGCCACCAAAGATTTGCAGGGCGTAGAAGGTGACTTCAGAAAAGGCCAAGGATGCTCGTTGCCTCAGACGGTGCTGGACTTGGTCATATTCATAAGCAAAAAAATGCATCTCCTAGAGAGTACAGTATTATCAGTATTCAGACTAAGAATGGTGCACATCAATCTGCAGCTCTCGCAAATCTATTTGCAGAATTTCACCTGAAGTTGACAAAGAAAAGTAGCAACAGTTCTCCCCGGTCCCACTAAAAGATCAAACATGCAAAAAAATAATAAAAAGACCTCTATTCCAGACCACCATACTTGGTCTGGAGTCTGGAGAAGTGTTGATATGGTGACATCGAAACATAAGAAGAGTCACGGACAAAGCCATGAATGAGTTCGGAGTAGAGAAGGACCTGTCGTCAGGCCCAAGGCATCCAAGGCAAGGCATCAAGTCTGCTTCGCGTCTGTTTCTTTCACCTCTCTCAGTCTGACTCAGTCTGACTTAGTGAGAGTCTGGACACCTGGTGCAGGAGCAAGTGCAAAGCCACGGCCAAGACACCCTCAAAAAGGGTCAGCGAGGCGAAGTTCGACACTGCCTGGAGTCCAAGCGTTGCTTCTGTCACTGCAAATCAGAAATCAAGAAATCATATGGAAATCATATGGAAATCATATGGAAATCATATGGACATCATATGGACATCATATGAGTCACAAGAGTCAAAAGAGAGGCCTGGAGCCAGCCCAAGAGATTGGCTCGCTCATAGCCATGAGCTGGCCAAGCAATCACAAGCACCAACCCTGGGAAGCAAGGCATGTGTCCACTTTCTTTCTTTGCAAGCTATGGAATCCGAATTGGACTGCGCTCAACGCATGTTTTCACAGGGAAGGTCACAGAATGTGATCATAGCCAATGCACAACCCGTTACAAACAAGGTGCAATATATCAGAATGAAGATCGCGATGTTGGACAGGAGAACACCATAAAGCCTCGGGTTCTGAATTGCTGATGCTCCGGGTTGTTCAGCATGTTGGGATAAGCATAAAGTAGGCTGGATGCAATATGCAAATATCATGTATCATACACTGAAATAAAAATGAAATCCTGTCCACGTGTTGAAATTTGGAGTCGTACTTTTCCATGACTTTAATCTTGGCGGGGGAAACTGATTCGACACCTTGATATCCTGTACTAGCTATCTGCGCTTGGTGAAGGTGGATCTTGCCGTACAGTTTGCCTTTGCCAAAAAAAGGGGAAAATGTTTGAGTGGTTTGAAGAGCCGAGAAGCAGGTACTGCTTCACCATCTGGGGGTCCCATCTGTCTTGGATAGCTTCTGCATATGACTTGAGTTTGTCGAACTTACCAAAGCCTCTTTGCTCTTTCCTTAGATTCGGCACAATCTGACGCTTCAAGTTGTGATCAGCAAGATCTGAATTATGCTTGTCTGCTCTACTTCTTGGAGCAAAGTCACAGTGCCTCTTTCACCACCAGGTCTTTGATCCTTTTCAGAACTCTCACAGAATAACAGCGGTTTCGCAAAAAAAATAAAGCTGTACTAAACCGCAAAAAGCCACACTCACATGTTGCAAAAAATCCTGATGATATGCTGGGAAACTACAGTAGGAACTGCTTTTGGCACACTTGCCAAATCCATTGCACCGTCACTAAGTTGCAAAGCTTGTAACTGGGTGTCATGGCTTCTGGTGCTCGTTGCGAAAGATCTGCTTGGTCATGTCGCCAAATCTATACCTAAGCACGGGGAAGTTGCACAGCTTCCTGCAACAAATGCAGCCAAGCACAAAGGTTTCGGCTGTCCCTGAACTCGACTGCATTCACACTCCTGGAGGCAGATTTTGGCACCAAATGGCACCAGTGTGAAAAAAAAAACGGAAATCTGGATCGTCACAAGCATCGGCACTCCATGGCACTCCTCACAGGGCTTTAGCAGGAGCTCCGCCTTGCAGTGCTCCGCCTGGTTTGCACCAAGGCCAATGTGACACCTCAGACCGCTCAGCGAGCGCTGCACTTCCCACACGACGCACACGATGCAGTACAGCGTTCGCACCTCATCTTGCAAGGCCCGCTACATTCGAAACCGCTTCCAACCTTGGCAGCAGGATCCTGCGAAATAACTGCTCTCTGGTTTTTTGAACTCCGTCTTGATGAGTTGCACTCTGGACTGCCAACTTAGATCACCACCAGAACACCCTTGCAGTTGCTGCACCAAGTGGGTACCAGGAAGACCTGCGCTGCAAAATGCTGCCGTAGCTGTCATGAGCAAGTGAAGACAGCATTCTGAGAAGCTCAAAAAAAATCCGAGAACCCTAAGCATCCCAAGCTGCACATCAAACCCAAACAGGCCTTTGGTTTGAGGTTGTGTGCCTGCAGTGGTGACTTTGTTGGACTGAATGCCGACCTTGGCAAGCTGCCGGAGTGGATCAGTGGATGTGACTGGACAAGATACTATCTACAAACTACAGAGGCTCCAGCATTTCTCCGCTCTTCAAAGACCTTCAAACCTCTGTCAAAAAGGTGCTGACAAAGTGTGGGCACTCTGACACTTGAGGAATCCAACCAAAGTTTCTTTGGAAGCATTCTGTATGCTGGGTACAAGGCACAGGTCGGGAGGAAAAATATTGCGTCAGCAAGCTTGAAACCAGGAGCCAAAGAGGCTGCAACGTGAATCGATCAAATCCTTCGGACCATGTCTGAGGCCACTTGTGGGCGATCTGACAGGACAAGGCGGAAAAGGAACGCACCAAAAAAACTGTCCGTTGGGCATGTCCGGCTCGAATCTGCCTCGTCCACAAAGATTTCAGTGAAGCGACCACGGATTCCAGGAGGAAGCTCCTTGCAGCAAACGTGCGCTAAGCCGCGATGCAAATCTTCATGCCAGAAAACAAGTATATGCTTGTAAACAAAGGTACATTGTGTGCATTGTGTGCGTTGTGTAGATTGTGTGCATGTACACACCCGCTTGCAAAATATCTTGATCTCGGGACCTTTACTATAGTTCATCGCATTGTACTGCGTTGCATCGGGTGCCAAATCGAATGGTGGCGTTGTAGCGCAGGTCATGCAAGTGCATGCCATATGGATATGCAATGTAGGTCCTGTTGCAGTTCTTGGTGCTACTCTATATCCCATTCCGTTCCTTGAAATGGTAGCATTCACCATTCACCATGCAACATTGCTGTGCCTTTGTCTATGCATTACCTTTCCATACCTTTCCATGCATATGTGCATTGGCTGACCTTCATATCGGCAGTAGCATTGGCGCAATATCACCCTGTAACATTCCAGTACATCCCTTCACGATACATTGCATTGCATGGATGGAAGGGGGATTGGTTCGCTGTCAATTGCCGGTTTGTTGAGTACGTGAAGATTCGATTCCATCATATTCCATCCATGTTTTGCTCCAAGCACATTCAGCACTTGCCAGTTCTGATAGTACGAAATGGCTGTATTGCCTGGTGCCTAGGTGTAAGGGTAAGGTTGGAAGCCCAGTCCTTTTTGCCAGCAGCCTGCCCGGCTCTTGCGCCAGGAGGAGCCTGGGCCTCTGCCGTGGAAATCACTACCATTCACTACCTCCGCATAGTCTCTGTCAACAGATGCAGTGCGCTAATATGATATATAACATTAAAATCAATGTGGTTTCCGAATGATTGTTAATGTATATGCCAGGCACTTCTGGAGTTGCAAGACAGTCATTGTAAAGAATGAAATAAAATTTGTTTTGGCCTGATCACCGGACTCAATCTCTTCCGGTGGAGGTGGCCTGGCCGAAAAATGAAACTCATCATCAACCTTTGCTTTTGCCAACGTGGGCAACGTGGGCAACGTGGGCTATGGCGCTATCTATCTATTTCATTCTATGTCTATTTCTCTGACACTGCCATGATGCCCAATGCTCGTGGATGAACAATACTGAGGCGGCAGGACAAGCGAGGCCTAGGAAGCTGTCTCACACTGTCAACGCTATCAGAAAATGTCAGAACCAGCATGAACCAGCTACATCCAATGCCTCCCCTCCCTTCACTGCTTTCGTGGCCTTCCAAGGTCGGGCTCCAGACGGATTCATGCAGGCGAAGAGCCTGAAATCTGCGTGAGGCCTCAAGAAAGCTTCAAATCCCTAAGGCTGATGGTTTGCAAGTCAAACACAAACACTCGGCAATGTGGCAATAGAAAGAAGGTGCTGTGCGAATTCTATAGATGGGAGCAAAAGCCTGCAGTGCTCGGTCTACTGAGCATGGAAGAAGAGTAGTTTTCATGCCCGGCTCTGTTGGAGCTTTATTCTTGGGATCTACATTTGTGCTCTTGCTGATATTTGCATTTCACGCATTTCACCAACGGAAGACACAAGCGATATCAGTTGCCCACTTGCTACAACTTATCAAGATTGGTTGGTATTCTGTTTTTTCCCTTGTTTGCAGCCTCTCTTCCCATTACTGTGGAACGCTGAAAGGAATGCAAGTCCATTTTGCTTTGATTTGCTTTGCCCCACCAGGAGAATCCAAGTGGTCAAAACCAGCGACTGGGCCTCCCTGCACGACTTGCTCGTTGCCAGACTCAGGCAGTGCCAAATGGGTCCCTGACCTCTGAGTATACTACACCCCCTGCATCAAGCACCCTCGATTTGGAATGGGTTTCCCTCTGGATTCAAAATAATTCAAACTACAGTAGGGTGAAGGATTAGTCAAAATACAAAGCATCAAAGACTTACCACAGCAGGAATAGGTCCCAGGTAGAAAATTGGCCCAACAGCTACAAAATGAAAATTGGAACAAAACCTGCTGAGATCTGAGGCAAGTTCGATCGCTCAATCAAACCCTGGATGCGCTGCAAGAGATCTGAGGGAGCTAAGTTGATCTCATCCAGGACCTCACAGGTGACGGAGCATTCAAAGGGATCGAACTGTTTTGGGAAAGAACAAGAAATTGCAAATCCAAAACAGAACAAGAAAGCACACCAGTGCCCAGTGCTAGATTTGCAAGCAAGACTTGATATTATGCAAATTAGGAACTTGTGTACTAAGTTCACGGCAACCCACGCACCCGAGCGCAAAGCCTGCTATGATTCAAACGAAGTGGGCTAAAATCAATCAATATCAATCAATAATCAAAAGGATTCAAAAGGTGTGTTTTCAGTGTCTATGCACTGTGGGCCTGCACTAGGAGCCCTTCTTTGAACTCAAACTTTGGAGCGGAACCTGCTGCGGTGACCTTGGCGATGAATTGCAGGAACTCAGAGTAACATTGTGATATCAATATAGCGACTCCACATGCACGGAGTCAGAGAGTGTGAACGAACAAAGTGCTTACAGCATCTCACAGCATTCATGTCCTGAGGGTTGGACAGTGCTAGCTTTGCCGTGCAAAGAGAAGACTCGCTCCCACCTTAGCACATCTCAGCAGCACCCGTTTTGAATTCAACGAAGTCAACGTGAATGCCAGTTGGATGCCTGAGCTTTGTACTCCAAAGCGAGCTGAGTGCCCTTGACGCCCTTTGATGCTTGCGATACCTACACCAAAAGCATCCAAAAGCTGTCAAATCCGAAGTGAGGAAGTTCAGAGGAGTGAGTAATTTCCTGTATATTGATTGTGTGGGATAGCAGTCGGTAGCATGAATAGGTTCCCAGACCGGATCACAAAGAGTCTGCTGAGCCTCGCAGCACGGTCAAGTCATTGGCAGCAGAGAGCCAAATCTGCCGTGCCTTGCTGATGGTACTCCCCACATTGTGCAGGACTGCAGCCTTGCAACGACTGCAACGATGTGCCACGAAGGACGCTACGCGTGCGAAGGACTCCAAGGACTCTTGGAGTGTACCAGGGTCTATCGTTGCTGCATGTTTCTTCAGGGCCCCACCCATCGCCGAGCAATGAAGTCCCCGCGAAGCTTCTCTAAAAGCTTGGCCTTGCCAAGCTCGTGCCAGATGTATCCACTGCATCTACTGCATCCGCCCTAAAATTTGCCATGTAAGAGGCATGCGCCAAACCAGGGCATCACTCGGCATCAGACATTCTTCCGTCGGGAGAAGGACTTCTCGAACACGGCGCAGAAGCTCTCAACCTGTTCACAAGAACCCCTAACTAAACTTCAAACTGTTTTTTCGCTTTGTGGATGAAATCTGATGAATTGTTGAAGGCTTTGACAGACTCTGGTCATCCGAGGACACACTTCGTGGTCCAAGGTTCTCACAAGCTCCGACATCAGCTGCATGACATTGTCCTTGCAGATTCTACAGGACATCAGCTGCATGACATTGTCCTTGCAGATTCTACAGTAGTGAGTAAAAGGCTGTGAGGCAAAGCTTGGTCAAACTACCTCAGTCCGGGGCCACAGGTCGAAATCCACCAATGAGCTCAGTGCTGTCGCTCTGCTCATTGAAGTTGTACACCAAAACCTCCCGGAAATGCAGCGGTAGCTTTCACTGAAAGCTGAAGTGATGGAATGCACTAAACTCAGACCTGCCAGCCTGGATCCCATCAGCAAAGGGAGTTTGAGAACATCTTGTGAAGATTCTAGAGGTGTAATTGGTTGTGAGCATCCCTTGTAACTTATATCCTAATGCTAAATCATGCTTCAGACTTCGCACGAGCATCTACCCTTGACATCCAGAAGCCACCGAACCTTACAAATGCTCTACATTCCTACCTCCACAACACTTGTTCTGAAAGTATCTGGGAGAGCCACAATAGCCACAGGCAAGTCGAGCCTCACGGCCCAAGAGTCGCCCAATGTGCTGCACTACTGAAGTCTTGCCAGTCCCAGTGTCGCCTTAGCCCCAAAGATCCCCCATGTACTTTAGACTTTAGAGATTTCCCGCCACGGTGATCACAGTGTGCAGAAAGTGCTCAGGTTTTGCTTTCATGCCTAAGAATCCCACCAACAAGAAGTGCAGGCTCATCATTGCGGATAGCTGATGCCAACGCCTTCAAGGAAGCTCATCTGGGAAATGGAAAAAATGTGTTTTTCTTGCATTCCTGACTAGAAATAAGCTTCGGTGGTATCCCCAACAGCCGCAATGTTTTTTTTTACAAATATTTCTGAAGCGTGCTGCCAAGCCAAGCGCTGGAAACACCTCAGCCTGCTCCAAAGCCTCCCAGACCTTCTCCGGAACCTTCTCCGGAACCTTCTCCGGAACCCTGTTGAACCTGACCTGCCTCTGCACAAAGCCTCCCGGAACCTTTTCCGGAACCTCCTTCTCCGGAACTCTGTTGAACCTGACCTGCCTCTGCACCAAACCCTCCCAGACCTTCTCCGGAACCTTCTCCGAAACGGCTCTCCACCAAAGCGTCCCAGGCCTTCTCCGGAACCTTTTACGGAACCCGTTGAACCTGACTTGGCTTTGCACCAAGGCTTCCTGGAACCTTCTCCGGAACCTTCTCCCGAACCCTGTTGAACCTGACCTGACTCTGCACCAAAGCCTCCCAGACCTTCGCCGGAACCTTCTCCGGAACCTTCTCCGGAACCTTCTCCGGAACCTTCTCCAGAACCCTGTTGAACCTGACTTGGCTTTGCCCCAAGGCTTCCCGGGAACCTTCTCCGCATCCCTGTTGAACCTGACCTGGCTCTGCATCAAAGCCTCCCAGCTTCTCCGGAACCTTCTCCGGAACCCTGTTGAACCTGACCTGTCTCTCACACCTTCTCCGGAACCTCGTTGAACCTGGCCTGCACCAGTGCACACCGCAGCTATTCTGGGCTGAAGACCCCATTAGCTTACGCTGTTGGGGAAAAAATACTTTATATTGTTTCATCATGTCTATAGTGCAAAGAACAAGACCGAGACTGTGCAAATTTTGTTTGGGCAAGCATAAAAATGGCCGTCTGCCCCGTTCCTGCAAAACTCGAGCGTGTACAGAGGTGTAGGCAAAGGGCTCGCAACGAGAAGCCTTGCACATCAGAAAGACTTTCCGTTTAAAAAATTGTCATGCAGTGATAGTGGCAAGTGGTTTTTCAACTTCCAGTTCGATCATGCCACTCTTGGGTACCATTTCCTACATCTGTAAGGCCATCCAGCACACCTACACAACCAACGCTGACGACAACAATAACAATACAACAGTTTCACTCACGCTTCGCTCTATCTATCGCCTCCTAGGTACCCTCCGAACAGATCTGTATCAGCAGCATCGTTAGTGCTACACGTTGCATAAATTCCTGTAGAAGCCCTCAAACGTTTTCGGAAGCTGGTCCCCACGCCAACACTAACACTATTGAGTATTCAGCCACAAAGACAGCAAAAACATGCAAAACCACTCAAGCCCAGTGCTGGGCTCACAAATTACAATCCATGGCGGAAAAGTTTATGCATATGTATGTGTAGTATTAATAATGTATATCATAATGTATATATATATATATGTCATACTTACTGTATATATATAATATAACTTAAGATAACATATAACAGCATTCAATATGAAACACTTTTGAACAAAAAGCAAGAAGCTTGGCTTCCTAGCATTCATTCCTGCTCTGCTCACCAAAGCTCTAAGGTTTAAAGTCATCCTGCTAGTAGATGCGGAGACTGAGGTCTCTGCCGGGTCTCCACCACCCATCAGAAGAAGTGTTACCTCTCCGATCTGGACCTGACTTGTGCATAGTGCATTGAAAACTGGCTGTTGGCCACCAAGAAACCGCCGTTGGCCAACAAGAAACCCGCATACATGGTCCCAAATATGTGTAAAATCCCCTACTAAACCATGATTTCTGAGGGTTATTTAATATTAGCGGGAAGGGATTAATCCCAGTCCCTGGTTCCAAGAGGCACCACCTCTCTTCCCATCTTCCGATTTGGACCTGGCGAGCTTCTGCCGCAGATGGCAGGAAAGTCACTGTTGGCCTTTCCTGGCAAGCTCGGTGCTGAGCAAGCTGGGCAAGCACACCTTTCCTTCATGAGAAAGCAGCTCTGCAGCTCTGCAGCTCTGCGCAAGCAAGATTTCTTCACATGCCGCACATGCCTGCAAAAGCGCTTCCGCAACCCCAGTTCCCAGTGACCACACGGGTGCTAGGCCTTCAAGCGGTGCATCTGACATGGACAGTGCCAGTCTCTCCTCTGTACAAAGATCATTTTGCAACTAGGAAAATCCATGATGTCAAGATATTTCATGATATTTCAAGTTGCTTCATGGACAGTTGCAACTGGGCACCAGGCATGCAAGAAATGACCGTCGTTGGCGAAGATCTGCCACTCGGCCAAGCAGGACCTCATTGAAGATTGCCCTAGATCAAACTACGAGAAGAGCCACGCTCCCCGCCTGTAGCGCTTCACGCAAAAGAACTGCCCGCCCGTCCTCTGTAAAGATCGGACCTGCAACTTTGCACACGCTTCTGTCAGGCTTTTGGTGACACATCAACCTCGTATGCAGTATGATCAAATCTTTGCCCAGGGAGTCAGGCTCAACACCAGCTGTGCTTTGCGCAATCGTGCACACCAGCGAAGAATATCTCGCCTGAGTAAGACACACAGAGCTCATCAAAGCTCCAAAGCTCTGCTCCGCACGTCAAATGACTTCGTTCTAAGCAGCCCGCGGTCCAGTTGCAGGTCCGGCACCGAGTGCCGGTCCAAGTTGTCCTGCCAAATGCCTGGGTGTTTGGGGATCCGTCAAGGCTGCGAAGTGCCATGCAGTGCCATGCAGTGCCATGCTATGACTTTTGCTGACAGCTCTGGGGAAGCCGCTGTAGTACTGCAGCCGATTCCAGCAAACGAGTGGTTAATGATGAAAGCTCAGGGTAGAGACCTGGCCAATATATTGGTCCAAAGCCCATCAAGAAGTGAGTGAACCTTGCTGCTAGCTCTGCTAATCTGACCTGTTTACTTTCTGCCCCCCCCCAGCACGATGAAACGATCTTTGTGTCTTGGAGGCGCACCATTCACCAACTCTGCCAAGTGAGTCTGGAGCAAGGGTGCTATCTGGACCTTGCTGCTCACATGCAGTCAATGCCAGACCTACTGATAGAAGCTCCCAGAATATGTCTTTGAAGAAATGGGCAAGTCCTTGATAGTCCCTGTGTATTGTTTGGAATTCAGCAGACACTGTGTGCAGTTCGGAAGCTGCCGATTGCAATGGTGCCAATCAAGTTTCCCGACCCTCGTCCAGGCAGAAACCAGCGGTGGCACCTGGGGAATTACTGGCTGGAAGGTAGTAGGTGGCAGCTGAAGATCCAAGCATATCATGGCCGAATCATGGCCTGTTTGCAAGTCTTGGCATAAATTGAGGACAACACTCGGCCAATGCTACCAGCACCGTGAAAATTGCTTCCGATCTGACGACCTCAAGGGAACAGACTGGAAGGAGCAGTCAAGGCCATCCAGCCACAGATTCCTTTGAAATTGGTCTTAGCTTCTGAATGTGCTTTCAATGTTGATATTATTGATATTCCTCAATTTGGATCAAAGTGATTTTAGCAGCTGCTTCCTTCAACCACAAGAATGCTGCAATGCTGTCTGTGCCTTCCGCTTCTTCAGCCACCTGTCAAGATGAGCAAGCATGTGCAGTATGTTTACATTCAACAGGCGGAAGACCAGCAACACTGACCAGAGGACAGAGTACGGTAAGCAAAAAAATCGCAATGTCAAGGCCATGAATAGACATTCCTTTATCATGCAACAAAAAACTTCAACATACTTCAACATACTTCAACATACTTCAACATACTTCAACATCACGATTTCAACTGGCCACACTGAATTGTGCAGCAGGCTCCCGGGAAATCAACACACAGAAGATAAACTTAAAATTGCCAGCACCACTTCGCTTTCAGCAGCGGTACTCTCGGACCACAGCCTATAATGTCGCACTCAAAGTATTCTCAAGACTTAATGCTATGCTGGCTTGCATCAGCTTAAATTTCACTCTAACGTCATTGGGTACCCAGCACAGGCTGTCCAGAAGAAAGCGTGCCAAAAAGATGAAAGTCCTGCATTGAATGCACAGGCTACGCCGGAGGCTACGCCGGCTACGCTTATAGAAGCTGCTTCCGACTAAGTGTGGCGTCCTTGTGCGCATCGATGCACTGGTTCCTTTCAGGAATAACCTCGCACAGGAATTCCGTAGAATTTTGCGTTGACAAAAGTCCCAGGCACATGTTCCAGAGACTGGTTCGGGGTCAAAGATCGGCATAGTCCAGGCATGTCTGCATACTTTTTCCGACTCTGAGTTTTGGACCAAGCGCCGCGAAGCTGACAAGGGCAACAAAGCCGCCAGCACCTGCATGTTTCAAAGAAGTTTTGTTTCCCAACATGTCCACATTGTTTTAAATTTTAAAGTCTCTTAGGTTCTCGGGGGGGGGTTCTTGAGGTTCTAAGAGCTTCCAGGTAGATGCTCCAAGTCAGTGCTCTTGGATAGTTTGATCAAGGAAAAGGTTTGCAATATGCAATCCACAAAGTTCTGAAGGCGTATGAAGTCTTGCTGGCCGCAGCAACCATCCTGAAGGCTGCCAAGTTGGCCTCTGCTGGAACTCTATCCACATCCTCCAGCACCAGCCACCTGGCGCAGCATATTCAGCACCATTCACCACAAAAGCCTCCGACAGTTCTGATTTTTGTTAAAGCAAAAAGATATTCCTGCCTCCCTAGCTGCAAAGCTTGCGTCACAACGCCAGGTCGCCAAACAAACTCTCCCACCTGAATCTGATGCTTCGCTAGATGATGCCAAAAGTCCATTCCATTGGAATCCTGTTGTCCAGGTATAACCAAAAGCCAGTTTCCAAATCAATCTTAACTGCACAAAGTTGCATAGCGTCTGAGCTATGCGCTGTTTCCCCACACACGTATGCACCAAGCAGCATCTTGATGTCAGTCCTCATCATCATACCCACACTCAGAAATCTTGAATACTAGACTAATCTGACCAGGCTGATCATCGACTGCATGGAGTACATATATGTATACCACCTATGTACGCGAGTGTATTACGTTACATGTGTATGTATATGTATATGTATGTGTATATATATCCACGCATATACACGCACATACTAGCATATACTGACAGATTGACAGATGGACAAATGGATGGAAGGGATGAATGAATGAATGAATGAATGAATGAATGAATGTATGTATGTATGTATGTATGTATGTATGTATGATAATGTATGATAATGTATGATAATGTATGATAATGTATGATAATGTATGAATGAATGAATGAATGAATGGATGGATGGATGGATGGATCGGTCGATTCATTTACACAAGAAACTGAGACATTGCATGGGCATTAAAAGACTGGCGATCATAGAACCAATTCGTGTCCAAGGCTGCAGTTGTTCTCGGCACGCACGTGGAATGGGGAAAAACTGCCAACAGTGGAGCAGACACTACGACATACTACCACCAATTTTCCAAGTCCCGCACTGCTCATCACAAAACAAAAATACCTTAGCTGTTTCAGAACGCGTCGGCAAATCTGTGGACGCGCACTCTTTGCACACAGGAGGAGCGGTTTCAGTTGTATCGATTGCATGTTTCTAGCATTCTTTCTCACTAGTCAGTGGAAAAAGGTTGGCAATCCTGTAGGAAAGTGTCAACGGGCAGCCAAGGGCTGCGCGGGCTCGTGCTGTCCCATCAACTCAGCCTTCAGAAGAGGATGCTTTGGTCCAGTGGAAGAAGTGCAGTCTGTCAGTCTGTTTAGTTTGGGTGGAGAATTATTTGTGTTTTTTTTTTCCGGGTCAGTTTGGGGATTTGTTTTCGGATTCCTGTTCCCTTATATTTGCAGCATTCCTTGGTTTTCACGTGGTATTTGCACGATTTTGCAGCTCTTATGTTTGTTGTGTAGGGGGTAAAAGGGATTAGGCGTTTAGGTGTGGGGGATGGGGGGTGAGGAGTGGGGAAGTTAGGGGTTTGAAGGTGTTAAAGGTGTTGAAAGTGTTGAAGGTGTGGAAGGTGTTGAGGTGTTAAAGGTGTTCAAGGTGTTCAAGGTGTTGAACGTGTTGTTGTTGGTCTTGTTGGTCTTGTTCTTCTTGTTCTTATTGTCCTTCTTGCTCTTCTTGTTCTTCTTGTTCTTCTTGTTCTTCTTGTTCTTCTTGTTCTTCTTGTTATTCTTGTTCTTCTTGTTCTTTTCTTCTTGTTCTTCTTGTTCTTCTTGTTCTTCTTGTTCTTCTTGTCATTGTCATTGTCATTTAGGGGCTTAGGTGTGGGGGGTGGGGGGGTAAGGGGTTTGAAGGTTATAGATGATGCTGATGCTGATGCTGATGCTGTTCTTGTTCTTGTTGCTGTTGTTGTTGTTGTTGTTGTTGCTGTTGCTGTTGCTGTGGTTGTGGTTTATGTTGTTGTGGTGAAGAGAAGAGAAGACAAGAGAAGAGAAGAGAAGAGAAGGGAAGGGAAGAAAGAAAAGAGAAGAGAAGAGCAAGAGCAGCAAGAAACTCAGGCAATCTCATCCAGAGACTACAGTACACAGAGGAAGAGAGACGAGCACATCGGATGATAGCACCCAAGCAAAAAGGAGAGAAGCATCCAAGCGCAGGCGAAGAACAGGAATGAAACAAAGAGGCCAACAAGATTAAACATGTACAAGGGTTAAAGAACAAGGACCATGTGTGCTAGGGTCAAAACATGGTATATAATGTATAATCATCCATCTCATAGTGGCAATCCTTATCATGTGTATACAAATCCCTATGAATGGATTCATGGCAAATTGCTTTTATGGGAAACTAACCCATGTTTTTTGCCATGGCACATCAAACACAAAAAATAGAGAAATAAGACAAACACCAAAGCAAAACAGAAAGACCCAGAAAAGAAGAAAAGCAGAGAAACGAAAGCAGACAAGCCGAGAACCAAAGAAGCAGCAAAAAGCAGAAAAGTAAGAAAAAAGAAAAGCGGAAAAAGAAAACACAGAGAAGCAGAGAAGCAAAGAAGCGGAAAAGCAGAGAAGCAAAGAAGCAGAGAAGCAAAGCAGCAGAAGAAGCAGAAGAAGCAGAAGAAGCAGAAGAAGCAGAAGAAGCAAAAATGAAGAAAAGCAGAGAAGCAAAAAAGCAGAGAAGCAAAAAAGCAGAAAAGCAAAAAAGCAAAAAAGCAGAAAAGCAGAAAAGCAAACAAGCAGAGAAGCAAACAAGCAGAGAAGCAAAGAAAATAAAATGAAGCAGAAAAATAAAGCGGAAAAAAAAAATAAAAATAAAAGGCACCCAAAAGCAGAAAGCAATGGAAGGTGTAACAAAAAGGACGAACTAAATTCCCCAAACTCGCCCGAAAAAAAAAAAACTAAATAAATCCCTTCCCGTTTAGTTTACTGTGCAATGGGATCTTGGGTCGCTGGCAGCTCTTCTGATGAAAGTGGTCTTCCCAGCAGATGGTCCACTGAGAAGTACAGGACTCCCTACACCTCGACAGGAGCTCTTTGACAAGATGAACCTCTCTAGAGCAATGGCACCCGGACTCGTACATTCAATTATCCAGGCATTTTGATGATGTTCCCTTTCAACAAAATCCAGAATGGCGATGTCTTGTACAGGAGAATAAGAGAAATATTGCCCTGTCAATTGTTCAAAAGAACAAATGGCAGCTACCCAACTCCGTCATCAAGCTGCCTATTGCCAGCAGCAGCTGACGCATTACCTACAAAGAGAATCGAATCGGGCATGTATTTTAACTTTTTCAAACACTGAACAGTATCCATGTCAACCAATCAGCTCGCCTGTGCTGCTGGCTGTGTCGAGACGAACGGGAGTCTTTCGCTCACACTAGGATCAATGACCTTCAAAGATCGGAAGGCACATAAGGCGACATAAGGATACATAAGGCGAATGAGGCACATAAGGAGCATAAGGCACCCGGGAGGGCCAAGATGAACGGCAAATGTTTCCGCCTCAAAGCAGACTCCGTGCCGGCATCGGACCTGAACATGGACGACATCAATGTGATGCAAATGCTGTTTTCTACTAATTACCCCTAAAATCACTGACGGATAGATAGGATGGGATGGGATAGGATAGGATAGGATAGGATAGGGCGTAGGGTAGGGTAGGGTTGGATAAGATCGGGCTAGGATAGAGTAGATGGATAGACATAATAATTTGACTGTATAGTATTATAATCTATCATAATCTATTGTATAAATATATGTATAGAGATATGACTTGACATGATTTGTATGTCCCTCTTTTGCATGCATTTTCACGTGCCTCTTTGGTGTCCCAGTTCACTGCCGACAAGTCAGCCTGCAGCTCGACTCACACACCATGAAGCCGCTAGAAATGCGGTGCCTTTCAGGTTGCTTTGGGCACCTCTGTGGCAGCTAGATCCATCCTGTAACGGCCAGGCCAACACACAAGCTGCATGCCAGGCCAACACTCAAGTTGTTTGTTGAGTTTGTGGATCGGTAGATGCATAGACCCACTATGATAGACTATAACTCTATCTATAACTGCTAGAATCACAGCGAGCAACCATCCATTCAAGAGCAACCACAATGCAAAGCTACCCATATTGTGGGTGCCAGCTCGATTCGGCTGTCTTTCGTGCGCAAGTAGAATATAACATCTTCCTGCTCGCTGCGCCTGAATGTTTGGCCCGCTTCTAATCTACCTGACAAACATTCAAAGAATATCAAAGACTCAAGGATTCAAACCATTCGTGAATCAAGTTGGAGTATCGCAAAGCAAACACAATTTCCATCACCGAGAAGGCTGGAGTCAAAGTTCTCTGCCTTGTTGAGTTTGTTGAGCCTGACGGAGCCTGAGCTGACTTTCGGTCGACCAAGCTGAGCAAGCTCTTGACATTAATATACATTAATGAATGGACATAAGCACTTGCACACGGAGATCGTAGTCGCCGACATGGCGCCCCGCAGCGAGCTCATGTGTTTGCATCCAAAATCATCGAAAAGTGAAGGTGTTGGAGTGTAGAAATTCTCGCAACCCAGAAAGAAAAAAATCAAATGACGCTGTCATTGGCTGTGTTTCTGTAAAACAAAGATCAAAGCATTGCAAAGGATGAACCGGCCAAGGAGGCGATGCTGAGGCTCAAATACGCCAGTATCCGGGCAACATTTGCCACTCCAGCCATGCAAAACTCCAGTGTCGTTATAGGTTTTATCCATGACGAAAAGGGCACTCTCAAACGAAGGGCAGCACATGCTCAACCTGTTGCTAGATTCTTCTCGATCGTACGTAGGACGCACATGGAAGACATGGAAATCTGAAGTTGGAGTGCCTTAAGAGAGGGTTCCATGGTCAAATCATGTGACTTTGCCTAATTTCCCAAGCCGCCCTCTCCATCAATTTGAGCGAGTCTCCGCTACGCCAAAGTTTGTCAGGGTCCTTTCGTACCCTGTAGCAAAGGAGTGGTTTCATTGTTCATCAACTCGTTGTACTTTTTGTACGAGTAGAGTGAAACCAAGACAGCTGTTAAGAATGCTACTAGGAAGATTGCAAAGTTTTGCCACTTGGCATCCGCCAGTTTGAAGTCACTTCCATGGGTGAACAATTCATCTACATCTTGCAGCGACGTTCCTAGGGAAGCAAAAATGAAAGATACCCAGAGAGTGTGTGGCAAGGCAGAGACCAGAAGTTTCCACATCGGAATCCGCAAAGTCGCTGGTCCGTAGTTTCGCATCCAAATTGGCATCAATAAGAACCGAAATAAGATCAGAATTTGGAGCGAATCATCTGCTGTTTCCAAGCAGTGAAATGCACGCTGGGCCAGGGGGAAGTTGCCACTGTCGAGCCAACCCCGCACTGGTTCTTGCAACCTTAGGGGACAAAGCTGTGCAGAGCCAACCAAGAAACACCAAGAAACATGCGTTGCATTGACCCTCTAAAAACACAATGGGTTAATTGACTAAAAATGATTAAAATATACATTATTTCTCCAAGCGACACTGTCATCCCAAGGAACGTACTGACAACAACTGCGATGTATAGAGCAATAAAATTGATGGTTGTACCTGCAGTCAGGCCTCGGATATTGAACTAAACAAAAAATGAATCCAGTTTGTTCACTTTCACTTTTTCACCAGCAGAACCATGGAATCCCAAATTGGAATTCGGGCAGGTGAGAAGGGGCAACATGTTTCAAAATGTTGATAAAAAAAAACAACATCAATACCTTCCGAACCAGTGTGGAAAACATCAACTGTTTCGTTGTTTTTTGCAGTCGCACATGCCAGTTGGACAGGTTTTGGTTGGGGCAACTGGTAGCATAACAGCAGACTAGCAAACATTTTTTCGAATTTCATTAATTTCAATGGACACAAACGGTGAAAAAACTTGAAAATTTGAAACAAACTAACACTGATCGTGCCTCAGACTTGGTTTCAAGAATTGTGTCATGCATTTTTGTGGGATAAAAATTGTTTAGCTATCGCAATTTGGCAATGTCAGAGTTTTTCTTACTTGTGCAATGTTTCTCTAATGCACACTAAGCCAGCGGCCAAACAGGAAACCAGTAAGGACGCAAACAGCTGACCAGATTGGCATCCCGAGAACAGAGTTTGCACAAAGGAATAGTGTCCAGCCAAACGCCCACTTCGAACCAGGATGGTCTGGCAAAAAGGCCAAAACTGTCTCGAAAAAGTGCTCTGGCCCAATCCAGTAAATCGTTCCTGCCACTGCAACCATCACGATCCCACCCACCAAGACTAGAACACCACCACAAGCCAATTTGCTGTTTCGTTGGTCTTCATCAGATGCTGCCATCAACTGTGCCAATGCCCGATATGCTGTCACTCTAGCTGCTACATTGTCGGACGTTTTAAGCCAAATCGGCTCCAAACGCAATGAATTTGAGAGGTGTGTCGGAGCTGACACACTGAGTTAAAATCAACGATGTCCCCTGATATCCACCACCTTTTGCCACATTTTCTACGTTTTTTGTTTGTTTTTAATGTGGCCGAATGGCGGCAACTGCAAAAAATGTTATGATATTGTTTGATCAACAGTTGTAAAAAGCCTTCTTGAACCAGTCCTTAGCTCCAACGTCCCGGAGTCTTGCAACCATGTGACCAATTATTTTTTTGTTTCATGCAAGGTTTGTTGATCCGGTACGTCGCGCGCCCGTCGACAGTTTCCGTAAGGCTGGCAACAAATTTTGTTTTGGCGATGGCATCGTGGCTGAACTTAACTCCAACAAAACTCCAAACAATTAAGTTCAAACAATTCTCAGGTACCAAAACCATGTGCTTATCCACGCCATTCCAAAGCGCACACAACACACAGCACAGTTGTTTTAAAATCTAGTAACCCCGCAATGTCGTAAACGTAAAAACGCAAAAACATAAACGTTTAAAAATTTAACATGGAGACCGTCGACATGAATGTGACAAGTGAAAAAGTCAACATTTTCACTGCCAAAGGATTCAGTTGTTTTTTTCCGAAGCATTGGGGTAACTGACATCAAAATGCTGGAGATTTGATTCCCAGCACAAGGCATAAGCCGTAAAACAGGGCGGGAGTGAAAACGGGGTGGGTAAATTGAAAAGATTCCTCCAAAATTGCATAAGGAACCCACCCATCCCACCACTTGAGATGTAAAATCACGAGATAAATGAAATGAAGTGATGTCCAGAATTCATCCAGAAATAAAAATGCACATGAAAGCACAAACTGAATGTAAACATAAATTGGACAGAAAAAACACAAATAAAAAGGAACCTGTGAAAAATTGTTTGGCCTTGCTAGGATATCATTTTTTTCGAAGAGCGCTAGCTTATCCACGCCATTCCAAAGCGCACACAACACACAGCACAGTTGTTTTAAAATCTAGTAACCCCGCAATGTCGTAAACGTAAAAACGCAAAATGCAAAAGCTGAACGTGAAATCGCACAGCTACACTCACTGTTTTGATCCGCAGGGCCTCAAAGGTAAATGCATTGAGGTTCATCCATGTGTCATGTGACATGGACTGCAAATGCTTGTTACACTTCTGATTTGCGCGTGTCATCCCATGACCTATGTGACATGAGAGCACAGTGCACAACATTTTGGACTCCTCCTTTGGAGGTTGAGTTTCAACTAAAGCTCCAATTCCCTTCTCGGGTTCTGTGCTCTGTTGGGCATTATACGGAGTTGCCCAGATTCCGTTTTCAGTTCACCACACCATATTTCTGATTTCCATGGCTCTTTGTCTGAGTCGATTTGCAAGCTCCGGGGTCATTATTTGATGCCTCGGTGCTATGGATTCCAGTCTGTTCGCAACCTCATTCATCACATTGTTTCGTTCTGTTGTTCTGCTCATGTTTCCAGCATTCAGGTTGTCCAACAAAAGCAATACCAGGTGTTGAATCTCAGCTGCATCTCGAAAATGAGATCTCGCCAGTGCATGATTGATCTCATGCCGCAAAGCCACCACCACTGTGGTAATAGGTCCTTCTTGGTCATTTTCTACCTCTGGAGAAACCGGATCATCTTCTGGCTCCTCCTCTTCTCCATGCTCCATTGTCTCATCTGTATCTTGTCCTGCAGCTGAACCCTGGTTTTGATGTCGAACCACCTGAAGAAAACGCTGTTGTCCCATCACTCTCGATGCAACCAAATTTCCAGTTTCTTGCTGGTACATATGGCGACGTTGTGCTGCCGTCATTTCTGTCAAGCTCACGAATCCTCCCATCTGAACCAACGCAAAGTGTACACCATCTGTGGTGTCATTCACCATCATTTGTTGTTGTTCCAATTCCACAAAATTCTCCCTGAGTTCTGCTGCTGTTCTTTGTAACTGGTTGCAGTCGTTTCGAATCTCACCAGCGTATTGATCCAACTCTGCAACTTGAAGGCAAAGTTGGTTGTGGTTTTCATCCACTTTCCATAGCCACTTGTACAAACGCCAAATGAAAAATGACCACACCAGCGCAGCAAAAACCAAAAGGAAAACTTCCATGTTGAAGCCGTGCTGAGCACCTGCGGCTTCCATTGTATTGGGCTCCTTCCATTCACATTGGTTCTCTTGCAGTGAGTCGTCACCAAGAAAAACTGCTGTTGCACCTGTAGGCCCAAGGCCCATCATAAGCATGACTCTTGACACTGTCTTTGCCAAGGCTGCAAGTTCTCGTGCTCCTCCATGTTTTGTTGATTGTTGTTCAAACTCTTCAGACCCAACTGCAAAGTCCCCTTCACCTGTTGCAACGCCAACTTCATGTAGCAGTAAGCGCAAACGCTTGGCACTCAAAGGTTTCGTGCCAATGTCACTCACATTCCAGGCTGTAGGGATCTGAGCAAGATTGGTTTCTTTGCTCTGAACTGCATCTTGGATCCAAAGTAGTTTGCCAGCAATGTGCTTGGCCTTTCCAACTCCTTGCTTCATGCTGAGCTGTCTTGCTGAAGAACTGTCGGTGTAGAGATACTGCTCGATGTCCGCATTTGTCAAAAACTGCATGCAATGTTTGATAAACAAAGAATCGGCCAGTGTGCTCGTGAGTGCATGGAGCTCGCTCTCACATGAAGACAGCGATACGACTCGTTGAGTGCGACTGCTGCCGTAGACAAAAGCTCCTCCAAGCATGTGCACTCCGCAGCTCGTTGACCTTCTATGCTGCTGATTGCATGACCAGTCTGAGTCACTGAAACTCTCTAAGACCCAGCACTTTGTTGAAGTCTTCCACTTACCCTTGCCAAAATGCTCTTCGAATGCCTTGACAACTTTCATGGCGCTTGTTCCAGAAATCAGCGCAGTCCCTTTGTCGATTTTCTTGATCTTGCGCTTCAGGAAAGAAATTGATGTCCCTGTGTCACCCAGCTCCTCAAAGCTGATTGTAAAACGCTCTTGGAATTTCTTCAGCACCACATCTTTCCAGTATTGCGTCTCACCTGCAAACATCACATCATCAACGTGAATCATCATCATCCCATGTTCGTTGCGACACAAACAAGGCTGCTCTTTGCAAAACTTGAAGTCCATCTCGCTTTCCAAAAACTGCCGCAAGAAAAGATACCAGTGGCGAGCACCAAGCCGCTGCCCTGGTAGATTTCTTTGCACGATGAAATCTTCTCCACGCAATTTCACCCTGACAGCTTTCTCCTGGGGAACCATCAAAAATGCATCTTTCACATCCAAGCTTGCCAACGTGTAGGCAGTGGTGTCAGCTTTTGAGTCTTTGTCCACCTCAGAGGTTTTCAGCAGATACCAAAGCGGTAGAAGGTTCAAGATGTGGGTCGAAGTTGCCGGGCTATATGTGTCATCCCTTCTTTCCAAGAAGGCATATTCCCTTGCCACCAACCTCGATCTCCTGAGCCATCTCTTGCAAACCTTCCCATCTGAAGCTGTGTAGTCACGCAACCTCCAGTCATAGACAAACTTTGTGGTCAGCTTGTCATCCACCTGTGCACCAAAGTCCATCGCTTTCACCAGGACTCCCATGTCGCAGAGTCTTCTCAGCTCCACATCGTCTGCCAGGCGATCAATTTGTTGATCTGGCTCTGGTGGCGGATGCTTTGGATCTCCATCTGCCCAAAGCTTCTCTGGCATGTCGGCTGTAGTCACCATTGACTCTCCTTCCCAAACATCCAGCTCATCCTGATCGCTCAACTGCAAGTCATGCTCATAGCTGTCCATTGTGTGAACAACCTCACCATCACTGATTTGCACTGCACGCACTGACAACTCATGTTCTACCATGATGCGCTCCACTCGCTGTTTCTTTGCAGAGCCAAGGCGTGCACGTTTGGAGTCATGACCTTCCTCTTCACCTGAGGCGTGAGCTCTTGTTGTTGGGGATCCACGTGGCGTCGAAGGCACCACATCCACATCATCAAACACTGAAGTCACTGGTACTGATGCCGCTGCCGAAGAGCTGGAGGTTCTTTCCTCAAAGAAAGACTTGCGCTCCTCCTGAAATGGAGGTGTCTTGGGCTGTTCCTCATCCACCTCAATTGTTTCACCAAATGAAACCGACTTTGGATTCTTTTCCTCCTCCAAGGGCTTGAGAGCTGGTTTGTCATGCATTGCCATCTCGACCAACTCTTCCTCTTCTTTCTGTTCCTCCAAGTACTTCTGTCTCACCTGCTCTGCCTCCTCGTCAAAGAACTCAGAAGCTTCGATGGCACCTTGTGGTGGGTCAAAACTTGCCCCAATCGGTGATCTTTGTGTCTTCACCGGAATCACTCTACCACCATATGCAGACTTGTAGTTCCATGACCAGCATGCAAAGTTGAGGTAAAATGAAAGGTGACCCTTCCACGAAGTTGAGATCCTTCGCACACTCCGCGCCAACACAAGCATGTGACCATCGTAGAGCAAGTATGAATCCTGAGGCTCGATCTTTCCAACAAACAGCATGCGCTTCCATCTTGCTGATGCCTTTGCCTGTGTTTTCACTGAAGACTTGGCATAGCCGAAAACTGGTTCACCAAACTCGCACAGTGTGCCCTCATAGGGCTTCCCAAACGCAACTTCATAAGCTGTCATTGCTTTTGTTGTCAAAAACCTGTTCAGAATCCAACACGCATGTCGTAGCGCACAACTCCACCAAGCATTGTTTGTTGAAAACTGTATGCCAATCTTTTCACTCAGTGCAAACATCAAGCTTCCAGCCAACGCACGAGCTCTGCCAACTGTGTTCTCAACCAAGCTGTTTGAGTGTGAGTATGCCATGGGTGTGGACGCTCTTGTTGCAAGACCCATGGACAACCTTGCATTGACTGTCATCCTAAGCAGCTGAACCAAAACCGGCTCATTGTCACACCTCAAGGTAATGGCCGCATGGCC